CTATTCTATAGTCCAGACCATAGACTATTCTATAGTCCAGACTATAGACTATTGTATAGTGTAGACCATAGACTTTTCTATAGTCCAGACTATAGACTATTCTATAGTCCAGACTATAGACTATTCTATAGTCCAGACTATAGACTTTTCTATAGTCCAGTCTATAGACTTTTCTATAGACCAGACTATAGACTTTTCTATAGTCCATACTATAGACTATTCTATAGTCCAGACTATAGACTATTCTATAGTCCAAACTATAGACTATTTTATAGTCCAGACTATAGACTATTCTGTAGTCCACACTATAGACTATTCTATTGTCCGCACTATAGACTACTCTATAGTCCACAGTCTTTTCCATGGTCCAGACTGTAAACTGTTCTATTGTTTAGGCCATAAACTATTCTATAGTCGAGATTATAAACTAAACTATGAATATATTAGTCCAGGCTGTGTATTAAACTATAGTCCAGACTGTAGATAAGACTAGAGTCCACACTATGGACTAAACTATAGTTCAGACTATAGTCTACAATACTATACTTTACTGAGAGAAAAAAAAAAGCTATTGGTTATATTTTCGCCTAATATCGAGTGGTGAAGATTCAATTGCCGTGTGAACAACAGATTTTTGTTATATGACGAATACATTCCTTTCAAGCCCTGAACCACTTCACTCTTTTATACTTAATACTTAAATGTATTGGTATTTTATGACTGTTTGGCTCTTCTTGTTGTGAAGAGCCATAACCAACCCGTTCAGTAGTCGATGACTGCATAAGGTTTTTCGTTTTTATTAAGGCCAAGTTAATTGTTGATGTTGTTTACTATCTAAAAACAAAATCTAAATAAAATAATACAAAAATATTACAATATAACAATAACAATTTAACAAATGAAATTTAAATATTTGTAATAGAAATAAATACAAAAACAATTAATAACAATTGTTTATAAATTTTTTAAAGATTTTAATAATAAAAAAAGACTTATGTTAAAAAATAACAACAAATAAAAGTGAAAAATGTTTTTTTTTTTTTTTTTTGAACAACCTTGTTAATTGTTTAATGTTTTTTGTATTTGTTTCTTATCAATATTTTGAGAACAAAAATTCAAATTTTGTTTTAAAAACGGTTGTTTTTAGTTGTTAACAATTAATAAATTTAATTAAAATTATTTTAAATATGACAAGATTTACAGGGACTTGTTTAGTTTGTTTTATAGTTAAAACATCTTTCTTTTCTTTTCGTGTTTTATAACATATATAATTTCCGGTTTTGTTTTCAAACTGTCTAAATAAAAACTGATTCGTAACAAACAACGAAACGAAAAGCTTCCGTTGAAAAAAGTTTGAAAACCAGTTACTGGTTTAATAGAGTACACTGAAAGAAATTTTGTCCATTTAAATAACTTGCAACTCACATGTGTCGTCATTGTTCTATTTGTGGAAAACCATTATTGCAAATTAAATAATAAAATTATAATCATTATAAACTAAATAATAAATAAATTTCAAAAATGACACATTAAACAACACTTAAGAATGTTGTCGTCTGCCATCGGCAATATAACAATAGACCCTGAGAATGATAAGAATTTTTTTTTTTTATTATTAATATTTACAAATTTTATTAATATTTAATGTGATTAGACACAGAAATACTCATACATTCATATATTTTTGTTCTATTTATATAAACCTTACGTTTAAAGTAGTCACTAATAAATAATTAAGTAATTGAAATGTTTATTTATTGTCATCTATTCAAATCGAAATTGAGTGTTATCGTTTCATAAACATAAGTGGTTAAATGTCAGCAACGGAATTCTGTTTAATAAGACAATATAATACGAATCGAAAAGATAAACTAATTATGGAATAATTTAGAAAGACTTTAGTCCAGATAATGACCCTGAATATAGACTAGAATATAGTTCAAACTCAAAATTTTAACTTAGTTCAGACTAAAGCTCAGTATATAGACTAGACAATAGGTAAGACTATGGACTACATTAGAGTCCAGACTAAAATATTGCCCAGAACATAGACTAAACTATAGACCAAAACCTGTACTAAGCTACAGACTAAACTACAGTCTAGATTATAGACGAAACTATAGTCCTAACTATAGACTAAACTATACTCCTAACTATAGACTAAACTATAGTCCAGGCTATAGACTAAACTGTGGTCTAGACTATAGACTAAACTACAGTCCAGACTATAGAATAAACTATCGTCCAAACTATAGACTTAACTATAGTCCAGACTATTGACTAAACCATCGTCCAGACTATAGACTAAACTATAGTCCATACTATGGACTAAACTATATTCCATAGTCTAGACCTGTCTAGACTATACACTAAACTATAGTCTAGATTATAGAATAAACTATAGTCCAGACTGTAGAATAAATTATAGTCCAGACTATAGACTAAACCATAGTCTAGACTATAGACTAAACTATAGTCCAGACTATAGACTAAACTATAGTCCAGAATATAGACTAAACAATAGTCTAGAATATAGACTAAATTATAGTCTAGAATATAGACTAAACTATAGTCCAGACTATAGACTAAACTATAGTCCTGACTATAATCCAGACTATAGACTAAACTATAGTCCAGACTATAGACTAAACTATAGTTCAGATTATAGACTAAACTATAGTCAAGACTATGGTCTAAACTATAGTCAAGACTATGAACTTAACTATAGGCCAGACTATATACTAAACTATGGATTAAATTATAGTACAGGTTATGGGTTGAACTATAGTCCAGTCTTTAGACTAAACAATAGTCCAGATCAAAGACTCAACTATAGTCCAGACTATATATTAATTATGGTCCAGACTCCATACTAAATTATAGTCAAGACTATAGACTGAACTATAGTCCAGACTATGGACTAAACTATAGTCCTGACTATAGTCCAGTATAGACTAAGCTATAGTCCGAAATATAGACTAAACTATAGTCCAGGCTATAGACTAAATTATAGTCCAGACTATATATTAACTATGGTCCAGACTCCACACTAAACAATAGAATAAACTATAGTCCAAAGTATAGATTAAAGTATAGTCCAGAATTTACTATAGTCCAGACCATAGACTAAACTATAGTCCAGACCATAGACTAAACTATAGTCCAGACTATAGACTAAACTATAGTCCTGACTATAGTCCAGACTATAGACTAAACTATAGTCCAGAATATAGACTAAACTATAGTCCAGGCTATAGACTAAACTATAGTCTGGACTATAGACTAAACTATAGTCCAGACTACAGACTAAATTATAGTCCAGACTATAGAATATATTATAGTCCAGACTATAGAATAAACTATAGTCCAGACTATAGACTTAACTATAGTCCAGACAATAGACTAAACTATAGTCCAGACTATAGTCTTAACTATAGACCGAACTGTAGAGTAAACTATAGTCCAGGTTATAGAATTAATTATGGTCCAGACTATAAAATAAACTGTAGTCTAAACTATAGACTAAACTATAGTGCGGACTATTGATTAAGCTATAGTACGGACTGTGGATTGAATTATAGTTCAGTCCAGCCTATAGGCTAAACTATAATCTGGACTATGAATTAAACCATAGTCCAGACACACTATAGACTAAACTATAGTCCAGGATATAGATTGAACTTTAGTTTAGACTATGGATTAATCTATAGTACAGACTATAAACTAAACCATAGTCCAGAGTGTATACTGAACTAAATTCCATGCAACAACTAATCTATTATCCAGACACTATAGAAGAGGCTCTAGTCTAGATTATAGTCCAGACTATAAACTGATCTATAATCCAGACTATAAAGTAAACTACAGTTCATACTATAAACTAACTATAGTTCAGATTATAGGTTAGAGTTTAATTCAGACTCTAGTCTATACTGTAGTTTGTACTATATACTAGGTTTGGGTCCATATTATGGGCTAGACTGTAGACCAAATATCTAGACTTTAGTCTAGACCTTTGTTCATACTATTCTCTAGATTATAAAGATACTTTGAACTAAATTGAAGTCCAGATGATACACCAATGAGTCAACTAAACTAAAGTCAGGACTATGAAATAGTCTATATTCCAGGCTATGGACTGGACTAGAAGCCAGACTATGGACCAAGTAGAAGGAATATTCCTTCTGTTTCAAGTTTGAGCATCAATATGAATACTTCAGCTACGTTGAGCTACTTTATATGGTGGAGGGTATAAAATGATCGGTTCAACCGATAACTTAACTTGTTTCTCAACTTTGTAAAAAACTACAACAACAACAAAAACACTCTAATTAATTCTTGTTTTTCTTATATTTTATTTTAGTAAATTTTACACTTTAGGTAAAATTCTATATAGAGCAACTTTACTCGCAATTAAACGAATTAGAAAATTATTTTTCAAAAAGTGCGTATATAATATAAAATATATATATTTTGCTAAATTTTCATACATACACTCTAGACAAACACATAAAAACAAATTTACAATTGTATATACATATATTGCTAAATAATATTTTTAATATTTTTGCCAATTTTTTTTGTTTGTGTTTTTTTATCTTTATCTTCTTTGTTTTTGCTTACTTTTCTATTATAAATATTTTTTTGGCAGACAATTTGGCTTAGATTTCTTTTATGGAATTAAAAGAAAATAATTAATGAAATATTTATTTCTCTCTCTCGCAACGAAAACAAAATTTAATAAAGTGTTTTAATAAAAAAAAAAAAAAAAAAAAAAACAAAATTGGTAAAAAAAACGTTAAAGTATTTAACAAGTTTTAATGGCTAATAACTTAATATAACAAAAAACAACAACAACAAATTAACCTAATTACACTGAAACAAATTTTAAACCAAAACCTTTCAAATCTAATAATTTTAAAGAATTTTTTTTAATTTTGCTTTTTATTTCATTTATAATTTAATAAAAATAACAAAAAATTTAAAAAATACACTTAAAAATTTGAACCAAAAACAACAACTTTAATTTATAAAAAAAAATTTAAATTTGATTTCTCGCTGCCTAAACTTCTGTCATCTGTCAACTTATCATCAACTTTAAATCGGAATTTCTTTTAATTTTTACGTTTTGCGTTGCCTTCTTCATTATTACGTCTTGAAATGTAAGTATTTCTTTATATTGAATAAATTTTGTTATAACATTTATTGTAGAAAACTTTTACAAAAGCGTTCCTCCCTTATTTTTTAACACCACACTTATGTATATATATACCCCTCTTGAAAGTATAGCTATTCCAAAACACTTGTTTTCAAATAAAAAGGATTTCTGTTTTACGTTTCACTTTAATATTAAACGAAAAGAAAAATACCCTTATGTCATATAAAAGTGGCATTTTTGTTTTGTCTTTTCCGTAAAAAGATTTTTGTCAAAAATCTTTTGTGAAAAGAAATATATTGATTTTTTCTTTCACAAGGCTATGAAACTTTCGCCTGAAGAGGGTCGTTTTTTTTAAAGATAAGTTTCACTTTAAGATGTAAAAAAAACTTGTTGTTAATGTCCTTTTGGTTTCGGTGAATGTCAGTTTAAAAATTTTAAAGAGATTCTGATATTAGACTAAACTATATTAGAAAATAGACTCGACTAGACTAAAGACTAGACCATAGACTACACTATAGACTAGGCTATAGATTAGACTATAGACCAACCATAGACTAGACTATAGATTATACTATACTAGACTATAGTTCAGACTATAGTCCAGACTATACTCTAGACTATAGTCCAGACTATAATCCAGACTATAGAGTGGACTATAGTCCAGACTGTAGACTAGACTTTAGTCCAGACTATAGACTACACTATAGTCTAGACTGTAGACTACACAATAGTAAAACTATAGACTAGACTATAGACAACACTATAGCCCAGACTATAGACAACACTATAGTCCAGACTATAGACAACACTATAATCCAGACTATGGACTACCCTATAGTCCAGACTATAAACTACACTATAGTCTAGACTATTTATTACACTATACTCCAGACTACAGATTACACTATAGTTCAGACTATAGATTACACTATAGTCCAGACTTTAGATTACACTATAGTCCAGACTATAGATTACACTATAGTCCAGACTATAGACTAAACTACAGTCCAGACTATAGATTGCAGTCCAGAATATAGACAACATTACAGTCCAGACTATAGATTGCACTAATATCCAGACCATACATTGCACTTTTATCCACTATAGTTCAGACTGTAGATTACACTATAGTCCAGACTATAGACTACAATATAGTCCACACTACAGACTACACTATAGTCCAGACTATAGACTACACTATAGTCCAAACTATAGACTAAACTATAGTCCAGACTATAGACTACAATATAGTCCACACTACAGAATACACTATAGTCCAGACTATAGACTACACTATAGTCCAAACTATAGACTACACTATAGTCCAGACTATAGACTACACTATAGTCCAGAATATAAACTACACTATGGTCCAGACTAGAGACTACACTATAGTCCAGACTATAGATTACACTATAGTCCAAACTATAGACTACACTATAGTCCAGACTACAGACTACACTATAGTCCAGAATATAGACTACACTATAGTCCAGACTACAGACTACACTATAGTCTAGACTATAGATTACACTATAGTCCAGAATATAGACTACACTATAGTCCAGATTAGAGACTACACTACAGCCCAGACTATAGCCTACACTACAGTCCATACTATAGACTACACTACAGCCCAGACTATAGACTTCATATAGTCTAGAATATAGACTACACTATGGTCCAGACTAGAGACTACACTATAGTCCAGACTATAGATTACACTATAGTCTATAGTCCAGACTATGGAATACACTATAGTCCAGACTATAGAATACACTATAGTCCAGACTATAGAATACACTAAAGTCCAGTCTATGGGCTACACTATAGTCCAGACTTTAGATTAGTCTATAGATTACACTATAATCCTGACTATAGATTACACTATAGTCCAGACTATAGATTACACTATAGTCCAGACTATAGATTACACTATAGTCCAGACTATAGATTACACTATAGTCCAGACTATAGATTACACTATAGTCCAGACTATAGATTACACTATAGTCCAGACTATAGATTACACTATAGTCCAGACTATAGATTACACTATAGTCCAGACTATAGATTACACTATAGTCCAGACTATAGATTACACTATAGTCCAGACTATAGATTACACTATAGTCCAGACTATAGATTACACTATAGTCCAGACTATAGATTACACTATAGTCCAGACTATAGACTACACTATAGTCCAGACTATAGACTACACTATAGTCCAGACTATAGACTACACTATAGTCCAGACTATAGACTACACTATAGTCCAGACTATAGACTACACTATAGTCCAGACTATAGACTACACTATAGTCCAGACTATAGACTACACTATAGTCCAGACTATAGACTACACTATAGTCCAGACTATAGACTACACTATAGTCCAGACTATAGACTACACTATAGTCCAGACTATAGACTACACTATAGTCCAGACTATAGACTACACTATAGTCCAGACTATAGACTACACTATAGTCCAGACTATAGACTACACTATAGTCCAGACTATAGACTACACTATAGTCCAGACTATAGACTACACTATAGTCCATACTATAGACTACACTATAGTCCATACTATAGACTACACTATAGTCCATACTATAGACTATAGACTACACTATAGTCCATACTATAGAATACATTTTAGTCCACTAATGTCCAGACTATAGACTACACTATTGGCTATATACTACACTGTAGTCCAGATCATAGTTTACACTATAAGCTAGATTATGGACTGCACTATAGTCCAGAATAGATTGGATTTTTTTTCTAGGATAGACACTATTCTATAGTCTCGATTTTAAGTTAGTATATTGTAGTTTGTACTCTAGACTGTATACTAGAATATATTGCCAAATAGTCTGGTATAAAAATATATTAATTGCCTCAAAACATAAAAGTGGAGCTAAAAAAAGTTTTTTTTCCAAATTATAAATTAAGAATAAAACTTTATAACAATTTTTTTTTTTTTGTTAAACTGTCAAGTTTTGCGAACTTAATTTATTAACTTTTTATTATTCTTAAAGTTATTTCGGTTAAATGACGACATACTTTTGCCAGAGCCTGTTGTTTACTACTTGATTTATGATGTTTTCTGTATAATATACTGGATAATTTTCATTGCTTCTTCTTTTACTTCGTATAAAACATGAGATTTACTATTTAGTTGACCTTTTTAACTTCTTTAATACTCAACTAGTTAAAACAATACTTTGTTAGTAAAATAGTATGAAAAATTATGAAAAGACGTAATTTTGTTTTTCGTTACTTTAGTGGCTCCAATGTTCAGTCGGTTGTCTTACATGTTTCTGACACAAAAAAATAAAATAATTTGAAATGATGTCATCGCCAGAGTTGTGAAGAAAAATAAATGTTTTATTTAAATTTTTATAAAATTTTATTAATTTGTTGTTTGAAAGAAAAGTAGATAGATATCTGTTTATTATCGGTTGTCTTATAAGTTAGTAATTAACAATTAATTGTTAGTATTTATTAATTATTTAGTAGAATTGTTTTCTTGTTGTTTTTTTTTCTAAAAGTGAAGAAAAACATAGAACACGTGTTGTTATTAGAATTTGTTTAACTGACCTCCCATTAATGTTTTCTTTGTAAAATTATTACAAAAAAAGATGGTTGTTTTTATGTTTTTTTTTTTCTTCATACTGGAGTTTAGGTCAAATGTTATTGAACCTTGAAGTTCTTAACTTGTTCAACTTTTCAAGAAATTCTAATATCAACCTTTATGAAAAAATTTTGTCTATTAAAAAACTTTAAGTATGAGTTAACTTTTTCAAAATCTTCAATTTCAATGTAAAGTTTTTGTCTAAAGTTTTGTTAGTTCGTTTAGAGTTATGTGGGCCTTAAGTATCTTTATAAGTTTATAATTTCGATTCTATAATTGCAAAATTACTCGTACTTTTTGAGTTGAGGTGTAATAGTGGCATAAATAAATAGTTTTTTTTTTTATATTTACCGTGTTATTTAACGGCTAATGGGTGTGTGTCTGAGTTGTAAAATGGTTACAAATTTTATTCACATATTCAGACACAAAACGATTTAATAAACTAAACTATTGTCATGGTAATGAAGGCAGTAAATTAAAGGAATTAAAACAAAATATATTCTTTAAACAATCTATATAGTCTATATAGAATAGTCTAGTCTATAGTCCCATCTATAGTCTATAGTATAATATAATCCAGAGTTTAGTCTATAGTCTAGTCTATAGTTTAGTCTATAGTTTAGTCTATAGTCTAGTCTATAGTTTAGTCTATAGTTTAGTCTATACTCTAGTCTATACTCTAGTCTATACTCTAGTCTATACTCTAGTCTATAGTCTAGTCTATAGTCTAGTCTATAGTTTAGTCTATAATCTAGTCTATAGTTTAGTCTATAGTTTAGTCTATAGTCTAGTCTATAGTTTAGTCTATAGTGTAGTCTATACTCTAGTCTATACTCTAGTCTATACTCTAGTCTATACTCTAGTCTATAGTCTAGTCTATAGTCTAGTCTATAGTTTAGTCTATAATCTAGTCTATAGTCTAGTCTATAGTCTAGTCTATAGTCTAGTCTATAGTCTAGTCTATAGTCTAGTCTATAGTCTAGTCTATAGTCTAGTCTATAGTCTAGTCTATAGTCTAGTCTATAGTCTAGTCTATAGTCTAGTCTATAGTCTAGTCTATAGTCTAGTCTATAGACTAGTCTATAGTCTAGTCTATAGTTTAGTATATAGTCTAGTCTATAGTTTAGTCTATAGTTTAGTCTATAGTCTATTCTATAGTTTAGTCTATAGTCTAGTCTATAGTCTAGTCTAGTCTAGTCTATAGTCTAGTCTATAGTATAGTCTAGTCTATAGTCTAGTCTATAGTCTAGTCTATAGTCTATTATATAGTCTAGTCTATAGTCTAGTCTATAGTCTAGTCTATAATCTAGTATATAGTCTAGTCTTTAGTCTAGTCTATAGTCTATTATATAGTCTAT